CTTTTTACTTCGGCCTTTCTTTTCTCGCTTCGCAAAAACCGCAGGCGATGCTGCGGACGAAATCCCGGATCTGTCGCGGACAAAGGGTCTCCATTTTTCTCGATCGTGTATTAGCAGCTCGAATCCGGCGGCATCGGCGGCGACGGCGGCGGCGGTCTCGCGCGATCCCAAACCTGTTTTCTGCATCCGTAACCTGATACGGACAATTCGTACGAGATTCGAGCCGCAGCAGCACCGGCGATCGTGAGAAGAAAGCAGTCTTCAGAAATCCACGTCGACCAGTGGATTCGCGGAGCTGCGTTATGCGCCGCTCATTTAGAAGTAACGTTTAACGCCTTATCCAACAGTACTTCTCTCATCGGTTAGATTAATGATGCTACTTGCAGAAATTTCAATGATAAAATTATGAATAATTGATCGCCTGGAAAATAAAAAAAGAAAATGTCAAAATTAACGCGGGTAATTCTTTATTATTATAATAACGATGATATAACTGCGCAAATGTATAATAATATAATTACTGAGATTCATAATTTTTTAGATACTGATGATGCGAGATAAAGAAGAATTGATATGCAGCGTTACATGTTGGCATTTTGCATTTTATTCTTTTCGAGTTGAATAATTCGAAATTCGCTTGATTTAGTAACTAAAACTTTAGTCATGAACAGAAGCGTCGAGCGGTGACGACGACAAAATTCCACTTCGTGCTCACGACAGAATTTATTGCCGCGACCAATAGAACATAAACCTCTTTTCACTCGGTATGTACCGTATCTACGATTACGCAACGCCGTAAAAATCGTGTTCTAACTAGACGTATAATCTAAGAGACGTATAATCAAAACGGTTTTATGATTACAAATAGTGATACATATACTTTTTAATGTAAATTAATAAGTAATACGCGGATTAAATAAATAAATAAATAAAATTAATAAATAAAACATAAAATAACAGCAAATAAAAGAAATACAAGTAGAATAAATTACAATACACACAAACGTATTACAACAGTAATACAAAGAATGAGGTAATAAAATCAAAGAATCTGCATAACAATGAATAATTATTTTTATGTCACTGCCATTCGCAATATAGTAGTAAATGTAATTTACTTCGCGAAATTGCATAAGTCCGTGAATTATTATCCAATATATTGTATTTTCCAATATATATTTTCAAAAGTCGCGTACAGTTCATCGCGATAATTCGAGAAATATGATTAATCAAGGCGAGATATGTAAAAGGGTATCGGCCTTTCTTGTCGTCGTCGTCGTCGTCGTCGTTCAATTTACGTAGTTGTACCCCACTCTATCCGAGAAACCAGCAGCAGCCAACTGGTTTAACTTGACTGGTTCCCTCGGCACGAGTGTCACGAGAAGCATGACGAAGGCACTTGAAAATTTGTATGTCTCCGAGAAAATACCATATGAAACATTGTTTTATTTTTCTCACGACTCGTAGTGCGATCGTTACTGATAACATGCTTCGAAGGCTTCGCAGTTGTAAAGGAGACATACAAAAAAAGCATTTGTCATTGAAGGCGATTATGAGACAATTAGGCTGTATTAATTTCGCGAAATTGTTCTACGTAATGGAATATCGCAAGAAGAAAATTATATATATGCAACCGCCTACGTTTTCATTTAGATAATATCTAGATTTTATGGGTTCTATACAATTAGTTTTTATCTCGAGATAGAATCATGCAACGCTAAATAAATAAATTATATATAATTAATATATAATTAACCTAAGCCAACCACTCATGGGTCCAATGGACCTTATGCGTTTTTTTTTGCTGTAACTTTTTTATAATATAATTTGAAGACTCGGATTAAATTTAAATATTTTAGAATTTTTTTTCAAAGTAGTCATTTTTTGCGAATTTTTCCAATAAAATTTCCTTGAAGCATTGTAATTAATTGAAAATAAAATATTATTTATTTGAGTCATTGATCTGTCTTTGTCTGACTTCGAGTATAAATTTCATACGTTTTGAGCTAAAAAATACGTATTCAGTCCAGAGATATAGCGTGACAAAGTTGCAGGCTTTCACAAACGCTGGTGTGGCCAATGTGGAAGGTAACTAAAAATAACAATGGCTTGCTAGGGGTTAAAAATGAAGAGTAATTTCTATCAATGTATGAAATTCGGTTCGATCTAAAGTCAGTTCTTGCGAACGATGCACTACGATCGGTAAATCTGCTGACGGTTCGAAATTTCACACAGTCCACGTGTATATACGAAATTAGCATCTTTGCAAGATGAATGACAAAGTCCAACTAAGTTCGCAATCTTACAATCCGTTCTGATGCTGCGGGAATGTTCTCGTTAAGAGACTCGTGCGGATCAACTTCTCACAAAGGCACGTGCTCTGACTGTCAACTAATTTAAGTAATAAAATTCCAACGCGAGCAGTCACGATACGAGTTCATCTATTCGTCTCTAAATTTTGTGGAGAATACTTTGTCGCTCCAAATATTCTTTTATAAAGAGAGACAAGTATTCGAACATTGGGACTCAGTGAAATTGTTAAAACTTTATTACGAACTACATTATTCTGAAAAACTGTATTTTTTTACAAATTATGGCATACTTAATTAATTTTCTTATTATGAAGTAATACTATAGTTTATTTTTATAATTATCTATCACTTAATTCTTTTATGTAATAATGATTATGTACCAGATGCTTTTATTATACGCGCTTCTATTCTTTGTATGTCATGAGATTAATTAATCACGTTACGTCATGCATTAACGAGAATATACTTCTCGTGACCGCGGAATAACGAGCGTGTTCTTCAGATGTGCGTATATTAACGCAAGTCGGGTAAAGCCCAGCCTTCTATGCTTCCATTATAATCACGCGCGATTACACTGAAAAGCAGGAGAAACCACAAAGCCACAATACCTCGAGATAAAAACGTAAGCTCGAGATAAAAAATTTCGTACATCAATTTCTTTTTTTGAAGAAACTGAAGATTTTAAACTCATTAATTCTTGACTTAAAAGATGAAAAGAATTGAAAAATTGTTATTTAACCAGCGCGGTTCTAAATTTTTTTTGTACATAAAATTCTTTCGAAAATTCGTCGAAAGATTGTCAAAAAATGAGAGATCCAAATGCGAGAGATAACTTTTCAAATCGTTTCCGGGTTCCACGAAGACCGATCTTTGTTGCAAATATAATTTCTGCAAAATGTGTGCGATCAAGTGGTGGTTCCCGAGGCAAAAACAAGCACGTCGTACCACGGAAATCTGACGACTACGAAAACGAGAGGGATGAGAAGCAACCCAGTCGGGCTTTTGTTTCCCGACGAGACAATCTACGGGTCGAGGTGTGTGGCGCTTAGGACGGGTTCTTCTGTCTCGCTCTCTCTGCACATATCGATCTTCTCATACACATCTGCCATTTCCGGTCGCGCGCACGTTATTACTATGGGCACATACATCGGGGAGGCGAGAGGACCCTTTTCGTCGAGGGTTCGTAATGGGTATTCGAAAGGGCGGCACAGGGGAAAACAGCACGAATCGCATCATCCCGCTTTACTAGCGCGACATTCTCGCTGAATGGAAGCGCGGCGAAGCACTTTCGCTTTTGTTCAAAAAAGGAACGGGAATAGTTGTCGTGAGGTGGGTGACAATTGTCTGCAGTCGAAATTTATCTGCGGAATTTATCTGCAGAAAGGAACCCATATAAGTAATTTTACAATCGATCTAGTAAAGGCAAACTATTGGTCCAATACTGACTAAATACTGGATGATAACTTGGGTCTGTAGTACTGAAAGTTGGTACTAGTCCAGTTATTTTAGCCAGTGATTTGCCAGTGATGGCCTAATATTGGCTCATAATAACTTTGACCGTCATTTGACAGCCAGTCATCTGATGGCCCAGTACTGGTTGACGGAATCTTGACCGTCAGTTGACAGTAGTGTTAGTTAAGTGTTGAATTCATTGTAACTGTTGGCAATTATATGGGAAGTTAACGAAAACTGCTAATTTCTAAAGTCTGTTGAATTCTCATCTGTTTTGAGTTTTTCTACAAATTTTCAAACAAAATTTTGACAAGGAACTGCGATCGATTGAGTTAGTATTTTGTTTGTTTTACAAGTGACGAGTTTAATCGAGTGTCTTACTGTTAATTATATTTCAAAAACTTGTCCTTGCGATCTTTCGATTGCGAAATTCAATTAGCTCCTTAAACCGCGAATCGATAATTGTCACCAAAAAAATCAGGATTAGATAAGATTGATTAATTGGTTGATATGGAATGTAGTCTGCCGTGGAATTTACTACCGGAACCTGTAATTGAATTAATTATGAGGTGATCTACTGATTAACACAGAACTCGGCGCAACCTCGTCTTTTTTTCCTTAGCAATGCTTGCACAATTCAGTCATTATAAATTACCGACTTATATGATAAGAATGCTAATGCTTGCCCCTCACCGTTTGAGTTAATGAAACGCACTTCTAATCACGATCGATCAGCTGAGTGGCATTCATTATGCATAACGGGAACATAATCTGATTGCTCGTCAATTGAAGACAGCCTTTGCTTCATTCGTACTTCTCGACTTTTGCTGAATTCATTTCCATAATGTCTAAGAATCACATATGAATGCTAACATTTTTGTGTCCTTTTATTAATAATAACACAATCGAATTTGCTGACATATTTCTGTATTTTCTCTCTAGAGAAAATTTCAGCAGTTAATGTTTTTTTTTAATTATGAGTTACAAGATCAGAAATGAAACGCTTTGCATAAACAAAGCATCGGAAATAAAAATAAACGATAAAACTAGTTTTTCATTTAATTTTATGTGCGCGTCTCTTTGGCGAAATGTTAATTTAAAACTCGATTGCTAAAATAAAAATCAAGAGCTTTTGAAATGGAGTGACAAAAAATATTGCCGATATTTTAAGCTAATTCTCGTTCATTGACAATTCTGTCGATGATGATAAAAATGAAGCATCTCTTTTTTTTACAGATTAAACGAAAATGGCGGTATTTGGCTTGGTCTCGGCAGTCGCCGGGTTCGTCAAGGTACGATATTTGATCGACAAGGCTGTTATCGACAACATGGTCTTCAGAATGCATTATAGGATCACATCGGCCATTCTGTTTCTTTGCTGCATTATCGTTACGGCCAATAATTTGATAGGTAAGATACCTTCTTTCAATTTCTGCCGCGAAATGTCAAAGGTCTTTTCTCTCTTACATCTCGAGAATTCTAGAAATCCTTGAAAGTCTTCTAGAAATACAATCTTTTCTTCGAGAAATTTTCTTATGTTGCGATTATCTTTGATTTTTATCGTCAACTTTTATAGTCTTCAAAATGAATACGATTATTGTCTTAGTTTATCCAAACATAAAACGACTAAAAATGAGAATTTATCGCATTTAATATAACAGCAAATATGATAAATGCCGTCGGTAAATATAAAAACTTTTATAAAAGAGCAGGAAAAGATTCGGCGATATTTCAAAGCGCGAAGAATGAGTTTAAAAATAGAAGAAGCGAAGATGAGACTCATTTAAGCTGCATGGGATATCCAGGTTAAAGATCAAGCGACTACTTGAACTGTAAGCCAAGTGCAGCTGGTCGCCACCTAATCAGATGGTGATTAGGAAGACTCGGATGGAGGCGAGGTGATGACGTCGCGTCTCTCTCGAGAATGTTTACATCAAAGATCGAAGTCTTCAAACACAAATTCTATCTACGCTCCTTTATCACCGCATACCGGAGACAATGTTTAATGTCGCGACGAACGGTTGATCAGAAGAGGAGCCATGTTCGCATCTAATGATCATAACATATCACTTGGTGTATACCTGTTTCTTATTACGGCTGTCGGTGAATCGAGGTCAAGTCGCGTGATTAATGACGAGCGAATCTCTTTGATTACGCGGGATGAAGCAGTTGGGAAGTAGCAATTATGCTGTAAATGATTACATGTATGTAATATTGGAAAAGAACGCACTCCTGCCTACTTCTCGTTGGCACTGTCAGGCTCGAAACGTAAATGGATCACGTTAATAAAAAAAGTTACAGATCAATGAGTTAAATAATGTACGAAAATTTATTATACAGATTTACAGAGGATATGCCAGTGATAAGTCATCATAGTTCTAACTCGCGAAATTAAACATTCGATATTTCAAAGATCTTTAAAAAAATTTATGATCTCGAAACTCGCGCTCGTTATAAGATGATCAAATAAACCATGAGTTGATGAACCATTGCGTAACTTAATTGTCCATAAGCGGCACGATGCGAAACATCTGGTACGAATACGAGCTATACGTTATGCAGCACACATGTGACTTGCATTTACAAAAGGAAAATCTCGGGGAAATCTATTCGGCCTAACTATTTTCTACTCTTATTTGCTTTTCTATTTCTCCTCAATGCAGCAACATGTATCAATTTTAAACGTTTTATGAAACAATAACATCCTTTTTTTATATCATAAAAATGTTATGATCGTATATTTCTTTTATAACATATATTTCTAAAAGTAACATGAGATTTTTTTATTTAATTGTATTTAAAAAAATAATATTTACAATCTTTTTAAACATTTTCTTATTTAGATGTTGAAAAATATTGGCGTGGGTGCATAACTTTTTATAAATTTGTGCATTAATTCTTTATTATATAAATCCGCTACTTTTGTTAATTAATTAATATTATTAATAAACAACTTTTCATAAAAAGTTTTCATAAAAAGACTTGAAGGCGAACAGAGCAGAAAATATATATACATGAATGTTATTAACAAAAAAGGTATATTATTTAGATTTATGTGATTAAAATATACGGTATATGTATTGCGAATTTAATATTCAGAATAAACTTTAGTGTATTATCAACACGTCAGGTAAGATAACTTGAAGCTCAGGTTTCGAGTGGTATCGTCTAGTTTTATAAAACCATCCCGCAGCATCCACTAAGCGATTCGTTCACAGCGCATCACGTATCACGTATAAAGAATTATCTTCGTAAGCATAGATAACGTTTCTGCGACATTCACTGATCACGGGGAATTAATGCATTACGGCAATTTCACGGGATAACTCCAGTAATCATGCTTGTAAGATAAGCGATAAACGTGCAAAGAAAATACTTCTTCAAAATTTAATTTTTGTAACTTATATTTATATATATATATATATATACACACATATATATATATACATGTGTATAAAATTAAGCTATTTATAAATCGTATTTATAATTATATATATCATGCAATAAATCAAAACTCTGAAAAATTATTTAAAGAATATACACACATATATAAAATATGTATTAAATATATATATATATTAAATATATATTAAAATATATATTAAAATATCCAAAAATACATGATAAAATTATAAAGACTATTCCTGAAATCTGAGAATTAAAAATTGTATAAAATATTAGGTGTTGGAATTAATTCGTAGCGTTT